ACTCAATCCAAATACGCACGTAAAGCTGCCCAATTATCACATATACAGGAGGGACGAGGTCACTTCTCAAGGGGCCGCCTACAGAGGGACGGCGGCCCTAGTGAGAAGGGACATCGTCCATCAAGAGCTTGAATTAGCCGAGTACCAAACGATGCGCTCTATCGGTATAAAAATGGAGGCGGCGGGTGAGGAACTAAGGGTTTATGCAGCATACCGCCCGACAGGGACTCCATTCTGCTCCTCAGACGTCCGAACGATAATGGATGGCGAGACACCAACCATCATCGCCGGGGACCTAAACGCCAAACACCCGGCGTGGGGGTCCAGAGTGATCAACCTGCCGGGTCATGCACTTTTTGAAGACGCTGAGAGAAACAGCTATGACGTCTTAGGTCCCAAAGAACCTACCCATGTTCCGACCGATGCACGGAAACGTCCGGATGTATTGGACATTGTGCTCTCCAGCAACATCAACTACCCGGTAGTGGTAGAGGTGCTGTACGACCTCAATTCACAGCACCTCCCGATCTTAATTACCCTTGGCCTAAAGGCGGTGACTACGCCGCCCAGAGCATTTAAGACACGTATCGACTGGAGGCTCTACCAGCAACGCTTGCAGGAGAGACCTCCAGCACACCATCCCTTAAATACAGCGGACGACGTAGAGGCTGCTGCTAATAACATCACTAAGGCGATCCAGGAGGCCCTCCAAGCTGCCTCTACGGTCGTCCCGATGTCCACAAGGAAAGACGATCTGCCCTTACAGATAAAAACGCAGATCAGGAGAAAGAGAGCGTTGAGGAGGCTCTGGGCGCGTACTCGCTGCCCGAGAATCAAGACGCAATTGAACACCTTATCGGAGGAACTGTCGGTTGCAGTCCAGGCACACAGAGGAGATGCCTGGGAGCGGCTCATATGGAAGGCGGAGGAGCACGATGCGTCGCTCTATAAACTGAACCGACAGTTAACTAGAGCCAAACCTCCCGTTTGCCCGCTGACCAACAACGCGGGCGAACGTCGTTACGATGCCAAGGGTAGAGCGGATATCCTGGGAGAGCACTTCGAGGAGCAATTTATGCCGAACCCAGCAAGTGCGGAGTTCATGGAACTTCATGTCCGGAAGGAGAGCCGTGTACAGGAATTCCTGTCGTCGCCCGCGCCACCTCTTACATGAGAGTGGTTTATCTCCCCCCGCTGAATTGCGGAGGACAGTAACCCGCCTGCAACCGAGGAAGGCTCCTGGGCACGACAGGATTACCAACGCTGCACTCCGACAGCTGCCCCATAGAGTCCTAGTAGAGCTTGGTCGACTCTACAATGGGATACTGCGGACATCCCACTTCCCGGAGGACTGGAAAAAAGGCAGAATTATCGTCTTGCCGAAGCCCGGGAAGGACAGGCGTAGAGCTGCCAGCTACAGGCCGATCACGCTTCTACCACACATAGCTAAACTGCTAGAAAGATTGTTGCTAAGACGCCTCCGCCCGTGCATCCAACTTCGGGCGGAGCAGCACGGATTCAGGAGGGGTCACTCTACAGCAACACAGCTGACCAGAGTGCTGCACCTGCTTGCGGCCGAATACAACCGTGGCCGCACTACGTTGGGCGTCTTTCTCGACATCGAGAAGGCGTTCGACAGGGTGTGGCATTCTGGACTACTTTACAAACTAGAAGAACAGACCAGTGTCCCTCCTGCTATGTTGCGGATAGTGGCGTCTTTCCTGGTAGACGGGAAGTTCTACGTCTGTGTAGAGGGCGCCGAGTCCGCAACCAGAACCATCAGAGCCGGCGTTCCTCAGGGCAGCTGTTTGTCTCCAGTCCTGTACGCGGCTTACACCAACGACATCCCAACATTGGCAGGTAGGCTGAAAGAGTGGGAGGATGACGTGGAATTGGCGTTATATGCGGACGATAGCGCTTATTTCACCTCGTCCAGAAGGGCCCACATTGCCACTGCCAAGATGCAACGACTGCTGGACCTGCTGCAACCATAGCTAGATGAGTGAAGGATGGTCGTCAACGTTGGTAAGACGACCGCTCTGCTCACCCGCCGCCTCAGAAATCTACCACCTCCACTAACCCTCAACGGCCAGAAGATCGCGTACGAGAAGGCCGTGACCTACCTTGGGTGCCGGATTGACCGGGCGCTGCGTATGACTGCACACGTCGACTTCGTTGTCCGCCAAGCACGGGGTGTACGGGCAATGCTACGTCCGGTACTGGCATCTAAGTTACCACTTAAAACAAAAGTGCGTGTTTACAAAATGTATATTAGACCCATTATCACCTACGCTGCTCCGGCCTGGTACGCGCTTCTGAGCGAGCCTCTGAGGCGGCGATTGCAGGCCCAGCAAAATTTGACACTAAGAACGATCGTCGGAGCAGGTCGCTACGTCCGGAACGACGTAATCGCGGCGGACTTGAAGATCGAGAACATCACCGACTTCGTGGCCTGGTTAGCACGCGGTATGTTTGACCGTGCCGATAACGGGCCACATGAACACCTCAACGGCTTTGCGCCGTTGCACACCCGGCCACCGGACGGGCGACCTCTTCCAAGAGAACTCCTCTCTATATGTGATTAGAGAGTTGAGTAACAACCCTCAATGCCGCGCCAACCTCGACTTCACCAGATAACCTCTCTTTTTCGTAGTCTTACCCGACTACGAAAAAATGTACCGATTACGGACTAATCCGATTTAGACTTACAATGCCAATAGAAGGCTCCCAGGACCGGTCCATAGTGGTGGACCGCGAGGACAGCACGGGTAATGGGGGCACACGAGGCCCGAAACCTCCATGCACTTTGGCGCATGAAGACGATAATCAACAATTTCGCCTACAGATATCTCTAGCATTCATGCAACAAAGATTAAACTATAAATTATTGCGTTAAGGAATATTTTATAAAAACGCAAAATCTCAGAAAAACAATGACACTGAGCGCTCACTCTTACTTGGGCATAGTGCAGCGAACGAACGTTTCGATAACTTTCTAATTAAGCGTTGTTGATCATCCAGGAGTCTCACACTAAGATATAACTAATTAACTGAAAGTGTCTCAGTAATAGACGCTGTTATAACTAGAAAAAAGAGGATACAATAAAACGTTAAGGATACGTATATCCATTTATCTTTAATATCCGGATCTTTTGGAAACCTGGAATAATAGCATTGTATTAAATAAACAGATTTATAAATTAAATGAATACAACATTATATAAACAGATATATATATATATATATATATATATATATATATATATATATATATATATATATATATATATATATATATATATACGGGTGATATATTTGTCATGTTTTATTACTTTTAAAGATCTGTAAATGACTTTCTTTTGTTTGGTATTTTTCAGTTACCCCGCTTCTTACAGATTACGAATTTAGTCTACCACCCTTACAATATAATTACTTATCCCTGCAATATATTAAAATTGCATCAAAGTTTATCAAGTAATTTAAAAGTACTAACAAACAAATAATCTCTGATAAAGGGTTAACGGTTTCAAATATTTAGAAAGAAAAAAAATAGAGGAGGTGTAAATAAGTATTTAACAAAAACTCACATTTCATTACCATTTCTGTAAAACCTAGGTAAGCCATACATAATAAATTATCGATACAAAGTATTAGTGTCATGCCACTGTCTCGACTCCTGCGGCCATGTTCTTGGAAATTTACGTATGCAACAATATTGTTTCTTGCCCATAGTACTATAAATCCATCGCTCCTTTTAGCTGTCGTACTCGTAGACATGAACTAGCTTAAGAATCAGTGAATATTGAAAAGTGAAAACAATTACATTTTCGGAGAAAATTGTTGTACTGGAGATGAATAATTTTATTTAAGTATATTTCAAACAAAATTATTTAAAACACAACTTGCTTGTTGTGGAAGAATTTTCGCAGTTGAATATGCTTCAAAACTTAATTTTTACGTTTCTGCGTCCTAAATAACACTGGTGACCGAAACAAACGCTCCTTGCACTCTTGTGACCTACGAGTAACATGTGCGGCGACAAAGTTACGCGCTTTTACGACTTCTACTATAAAAAAACCGAAAAGACAACCGACAAAGGATTATACTGCAACAGTTTTGCTGCAGTGCTCTTATTCTGTCGACACCACTAACAAGCCTACGAGCAGTCATCGGGCATAGTACCACTAATATACAAGTCATAATAAATTTGAAATTACATTTATATAATTTTATCCTTCAGACCGAATTTCGCTCTCGGTGGCCAGTCCCACGGAGACAAGCCATTGGCGTCGGACACAATTTTAGTGCTCGAGTGTTTGCACAAGCAAAGGTACACTCTCTATTCCCTCACTCTCGTATGCCGATGAGACGGTAAACCGATACACGGGAGTGAAACAACGCCAACTTCCTAACTTCAGACTGTTACTGAGAATTTCTGATCACAAAAACCCAACAATTAATTTTAATCCAACACGGGATTCGAATCCGGGACCTCAAGATCACCAGTCGCGTTTACGATCACTAAACGAACGAGGCAGCCGTACAACATATAGTTGAAGAGTGATCTAGAAAGAGCTGATAACTAAAGATATTAATAATTAATTAGCCAAGATAAAATAAAACGATGTGTTTTACCTTGTTTGAAGAGCACATCCCGCCCTCTCTCAATGGCGTGCACTATCCCTGTCACCACTAATCACAGCACCAATATCGCCAACACCTGTATGGTGATACTAGGAAAGACACACCACCGTCAATAATTCAACACGTATTTCGCCTACAAACAAGGCATCCTCAGGTGAAGTAGACTCTGCGGCGTCGGACTGTCGGGATTTCCGCTAATTAGCACATGATCATAATTACCAGAGCTGATTAAAATAGATCACGTATAACAGTGCCGGTCAGGGGTACCACAAATGACGCTGCTAAATAATATTTGCGATATCTCAATTAATTTAATTTTTGCATGTCGCTGTAATGTAATGCCGCAGATAAAGTACCTTATAAACGCGATCCTGGCGGGATTATGCGAAGAGTCGGGAGCCACGGTGCGGCAGAAGAGCGGGAACTCGGAGCGATCGCTCAACGCCGGCGATGTAGATCCAAAGGATACCTGGAACAAAGAATATTTTTACAACCCAAGCAGCATGCAATCAGTATACGCGCTGTATTGAAGTTGAAGAAGATCGTTTTTATACTAGAAGCTGTATTTTCGGGCTGTATATAGGCTATATAAGCGCTTATACAGTTCTTATAAATGAAAAATTGGCACAAATTATGCAGCTTTATACGTTAGTAGCACTGTAACTAATAATATAATAACAATTTATTAAATACGATAACTGACGGCTGTATAGGTAAGAATAAAGAATATAAATACATTGAGGTACAGTGATCATTAGTCAAACTAAAAATAATGCTATAGACTAAAAGTAATGTATAATATTCCTTTTTTTATAGGATAAGGGTGACAAACGAGCACACAGTCCACCTTATGGTAAGTGGATGCTGTGGCCCATAAATATCTACCTACATTTAACGTCGATTAAGAATCAAAATGGAGATACGTCGTCACCCTTGAGGACTAAGATGGAATGCCTCGATTCCAGTAAAACGGGTCTCCAGTTCTTTACACTCACCATACGAAATATAGCTACATCAAGCTGCTATTTTGCGCTGGTATTCTGTGACAGCGTGGTCCTTCCCCGGTCGAGCCAACCCATTCATGTTACAACCATAATAGCTGTAGCGTGGCTCTACCACGTATAAAATTATATTTTAAATTTTGTTTATATGGGTCCTAAAATGACGACAATTTGCTAAGCAGCCTAAACGGTATTTTGAGTTTATTATAGTTTTAGTAGCTGAACAATGTATGTATTCTATCATACAGCCATTAGTTTTTAATCAGTTGTACAATAGAATATTTTTATTAGTTATGCCATATAACAGTTTTTTCAACATAATATACCTGTATAAAAAAACCTTGCCTTGGGAACAGTGTTGGATAACTTTTATTTAAATTTAACATGATCTAACTGCATCGATCATTTATTTTTGCAATTTCGTTCATTAGGACAATATAAACACGCAACGCATGCAAAATGGCGATATTCTATCACCTATACTGCTTTAAATTTTACTATGGGTGTTTATTTTATTTTATAGCACCCTTATAAGCAGTAGTAATAAAACTACTGCATTTATAAGAGTGTACCACTACGCCATAAAAATAAGTCTTAAAAAGCAGTTTGCAGACACCATTGTTCAAAAATGGGATTTTAGTGATTGTATAATACACGTGCACTAACGCTGTAATGCGCAAGTGACAGCATGCAAAAACAGCTTCTATACAACTTTAATGATAAAATTAGATTCAAGTTTTACAAAGTACTTAAAGTTATAAACTAGAGTTATTTGATTAAGAACCTTAAGATTACTTAGAACCCATAATACAGACTTTATACAGCTTGAGCTATATAATAACTCTTAAACCACTCTTATCAGGATATGACCTCTTTTCGACACTCTTATACGCTTCTAAAAGAACTCTAAGTTCTATGTGGGCTGGTATATTGATGTTCATAACGCTAATATGCTGCTTGGGAAGCCATTTAGGATTTTAAAAAAGTAAAAAAAGCAAAGTTCAAAATTTTTAATTAACTATGTGTGTGTGTGTGTATGTGTCCTTACCTTATAACTCAGTATTTGCAGTCTACCCACACACACACACACACACACACACACACACACACACACACACACACACACACACACACACACACACACACACACACACACACACACACACACACACACACACACACACACACACACACACACACACACACACACACACACACACACACACACACACACACACACACACACACACACACACACACACACACACACACACACACACACACACACACACACACACACACACACACACACACACACACACACACACACACACACACACACACACACACACACACACACACACACACACACACACACACACACACACACACACACACACACACACACACACACACACACACACACACACACACACACACACACACACACACACACACACACACACACACACACACACACACACACACACACACACACACACACACACACACACACACACACACACACACACACACACACACACACACACACACACACACACACACACACACACACACACACACACACACACACACACACACACACACACACACACACACACACACACACACACACACACACACACACACACACACACACACACACACACACACACACACACACACACACACACACACACACACACACACACACACACACACACACACACACACACACACACACACACACACACACACACACACACACACACACACACACACACACACACACACACACACACACACACACACACACACACACACACACACACACACACACACACACACACACACACACACACACACACACACACACACACACACACACACACACACACACACACACACACACACACACACACACACACACACACACACACACACACACACACACACACACACACACACACACACACACACACACACACACACACACACACACACACACACACACACACACACACACACACACACACACACACACACACACACACACACACACACACACACACACACACACACACACACACACACACACACACACACACACACACACACACACACACACACACACACACACACACACACACACACACACACACACACACACACACACACACACACACACACACACACACACACACACACACACACACACACACACACACACACACACACACACACACACACACACACACACACACACACACACACACACACACACACACACACACACACACACACACACACACACACACACACACACACACACACACACACACACACACACACACACACACACACACACACACACACACACACACACACACACACACACACACACACACACACACACACACACACACACACACACACACACACACACACACACACACACACACACACACACACACACACACACACACACACACACACACACACACACACACACACACACACACACACACACACACACACACACACACACACACACACACACACACACACACACACACACACACACACACACACACACACACACACACACACACACACACACACACACACACACACACACACACACACACACACACACACACACACACACACACACACACACACACACACACACACACACACACACACACACACACACACACACACACACACACACACACACACACACACACACACACACACACACACACACACACACACACACACACACACACACACACACACACACACACACACACACACACACACACACACACACACACACACACACACACACACACACACACACACACACACACACACACACACACACACACATACACACACACATAACACACACACACACACACACACACACACACACACAGGATCGTTTCAATAAGTATGCTTACATTAATTTTAAATTATTGAATAACATTGTTCGATATTGCTCTAGACATACATAACAACATTGTAACCATTTACTGTAATAATTAAACTTTTAATGAAGCGTTATGGATAATTTTGTTAAAATTGGGATGTCCGGAAAAGTATGTACGAGTAGTGAGGCTTCTACACGATGAAATGACCTACTGCGTTTCCGTAAATGGTGAACAAACAGAATTTTTCCCCGTTACCTGCGGTGTTAAGCAAGATTGTGTCCTGGCGCCAACGTTGTTTGCTCTCTATTTTGCTGTAGTGGTCAGGTCTGCTATAAATACTCTGCTATAGATACTCTGCAAGAAGGGATACGTATTCGTTTCCGCACCGATGGAAATCTTTTTTATTTTAAATAGACTTCAGGCACAGACTAAGGTGTCTTGCGACGTAATAGCTGTAATTATATACGCGGATGACTTGTGCTTTGTGACGGATTCCCCAAATTTACTACAAAGATTGATGACTAGTCTTGATGAGTCACGCCGTAAGTTCGGCCTCAAAGTCAGTGTCACAAAGACCGAAGTGATGGCTACGGGCTCCCACTCTGGCCCTTTACGGATCTAGCTTAATCAAGTCGTTCTGAATTGTGTAGAAAAGTTCAAGTACTTGGGAAGCGTAATAACATCTAAATGTGACCTTGAAGCTTAATGAGAGGTTAATGGAATAATCGGTGCTGCATCAGCTGCTTTCGGAAAATTGACATCCAAGGTTTTCCTTCACATGATCTCAGGTTACCCACTAAGATAGCACTCTATAGGGCGGTTGTTTTGCCAAACCTTTTATATTCCTCTGAGTCTTGGTATTTGTATCGGAGGCACATACGAATTCTGGATAGATTCCATATTCAATGTCTCCGTAATATCGTGGGTATACGTTGGCCTGACCGTGTCAGGAACACGGAAGTCCTACGCCGAGCTAACATCTGTGGCATGGAGGCACTCCTGATGCAACGGCAACTGCGTTGGTGTGATCATGTCTTTCGGATGGCTGACAATAGAGTGGCAAAACGCGTCATGTACTCTGAGCTTCAAGAAGGCAAGCGCAAACAAGGCGGGCAGCTCCTAATATATAAGAATGTATTAAAGAGGCACATGAAAAAATGCAAACTCGAGCCCTCCTCTTGGGAGTACCTACCTAGCGACCGGCAAAAATGTAAGCGACTTGTAAAACAAAACATTAACACCTTTGAAACTAAACGCGTACAAGATCTAGATTCTAAACGAGAGGAACTTAAAGCCCGACCATCTGCGGCTATACAATATAATTACTGCGACGGTGTTCTCACCTGCTCTAAGTGTGCTCTCACTTTTCTTGCTAAGATCGGCTATGCTAGTCACTTGCAAGCACATGAACGGGCGGAGCAGTAACATTTATATATAGCAGTCAAAAACGGTCGCTGTAGCCGAAAACGGCTAGGAGAGAGACTAAACTTTTAATAAAAAGTGTTTCTTGGTGAGTTTTTTGTAGAGCA